TTGAATAATAGTTCAAGTGATATAAGAGAGAGGATAAAAAAAATATATCAATTTACATCAAACACAAAAAGAGTCTAAGAATTATTCAAGACTCTACAGAGAAGTAAACTTCAAGCCTATTTCTCAATTGTAGTAATATAAATACATTCAGTACATAAATAAAAAAAATTAATTTTTAATATATGTATGCTAGGTACATACCTATATCTATTTGTTATTTTTATATAATATTGTACATATTAAACGACATTTTGATTTGTGAATTTCTTTAACTTCAGAAGGTACAACATAAAAACAATAAGTGAAAGCAATGCATCCGTTGCCAAGAAATTAATAACATGGCATGACATTTCTAACGTTACTTACAAGCAACTGTATGATCTTACCTGTTGTATTTTTTTTATATGTGGCAATGGAACACTACACCCGCCCTGCGGTAACGGTTTAAGCTGAAGGGGCACCTGTGGAGAATGGTTGGATCAGGTTAGGCCAGATTCATAATTCATCACGATGATTTTCAGGAAGAAAAGCGCGAAGATCAAACTGTCATGGCAGGTACATAGCTTGAAATAGGATAAATACTTCACATTGCTGACTATCTCCATACCCGGTACCTGTTTACTAGCGCACATTGGGTTATTTTAGTTTTAGTGACTGTCTGTCTGTTCAGAAATAAATTCAAATTCAAATTCAAATTCAAAAATCATTTATTCATGTAGGACATTTTAGCCGCTTATGAACGTCAAATTTTTACATTATAATTTTATTTTTTTCCCTACCGGCCAAATAAAAAAACTCCTTAAGTTGCTTTGGTTGTACTTACTTAGTATATTATGGGAATCTACTCGTATAAATATCTACATAATAAACGATGCGCTTGCGTCTGTTTATATGAACAAATTGCGATCTTGTCGATTTCCGATCTGAGATAAGAAGCAATTAAGCTTGCCTGAATATATGAGCATGGAACATTGGCTCCGCACATACGTAAAAGCTTTTCCGAGGTCGATTAATAAATAAAATCTTATATTTGCGCTCGCCCACAGCCCAATGATATATAACGTTTGTTAATTAGGTTATCTCACCAGCGGCATCTACAAAGGGCCAAGTTTAAAAGGCTCGTTGATATTAAAAATGCGGTTTATAACTTTTATCATAAATCACCCTCTGGGCTAAGTCGAGAGGGCGCGCGAAAAAATGCGATCTACTTGGAACAAAAAATATGCAAGTAATGACGGACGCACCCTAAGAGCATTTTTGAGTACCTTGAGATGGTAGACGGTGCGCTTAGAATTAATTATAACGTGTCAAACGGCCACTTTGGTGGTAATAGCGAATTGTTGTCGCTACTTTATATACCCGTCTACGTGTATTTTCCAATCACAATTGTAATTGTTTCCATGGAATTTAAAAAAGGTTGGAGTTTACATCCAAAAGATTACTTTTAGTCTTTCAGCTATTGTTATTTAAAGATGGAATTAGTATTTTTATAACTACTTATTAGTTTGCTATCCCAGATGATGTCAACTGGCGATGTTGTGGTGAACGCAACCCGTGATGCGTCAATTTCGCTCGGCGTATTTGTATCCAAAATTTTGTGTGTGTGGTAGAGGCCGAGCATAGGTATTGCTATGAGATAAATTTTTGGTTTTTTTATCAGCGTTTCCTCCAATAAAGAGTTAGATTTGAACTCACAACTCTGTTCTCTTTTTCCTCGACTCTCTGTTTTTACCCATAGTAAATCATTTCATTTCCTATATGATCTACTATATTACCAGCCTACCGTGTTTCAAAGTTTCCTTTTCCTTTGGTCCCTTTCATTTTGTGATTTGGATTGTCCATCTGTTATCTGTAAAGCATGTGACATGACCAGCCCATTGCATTGGAGTTGTAGAGCTTGAGTATCTGCGTCTTCTGATTTAGTCTTCTAACTTAACGTTATTAAAACTGTTTTGTGAGTCTCTTTTATTAACTCTCCACCTGAAAGATTTAATTACTTAAATATTTATATGTATGATGTAAGAAATTTTTGAAATTGGAATATTTGAGGACTTAAATTAGAAAAAATTGTATTTAAATTATATATTTGTAATATAAATCGTGCTCTTATATTAAAAAAAAAAACTATATAAATAGCATAATTGGTAACCTATAGGTACCTAATCACAATAGTTTTAAATGAATAAATAAATAATATTAATATAATTGAATTGAATCAATGACTATGATATTTACTATAAGCAAAAATTATGTTATCTGTGCTATAAGGAAAACCTAGATACGGTTACATAGATAATCGAATATTTTCACCAATACCGTAAAATGGAATTGTTTATTTTGACTTTCTGTTGCTTTTCATTGAAGCTATTGTATGCGTCTGATAAATAGTTCTTATTCGTGATAAAAATAGTAGTACTTTTAATTTTTTTAATTAAAATTTTTTAATAATGTTACCATGAGGTATTTACCTTGGAAAAGTAAAGTGAAAAATCGTCTGCTTGGGCCTCAGTCTCATCTATTTTTGCTGTCAAGCAGTTGACTTTGAAAGCTGTGATTTATTTGTAGGATGAAATTAGGCAGTAAAATTCTCTCTCAGGCTCTTATCCTGGAATTTAATTGCCATTTCAGAGGATTTAATAATTGTCCTTGGGAATGGCGATGTATTCATTAGTGACATCACGGGTATCACATGATGACAAAATGTTTGTAGTGCAGATAATGTATAGGCGACGATTACCGTTTCCCATCAGGTGGACTATCAGCTAGTTTGACATTCCAATTACGTAAAAAAATCCTTAATTCGACATATAGAGTTCTTGTTTTTTAAACATGAAGCAATTGTAGGAAAAAAGATCAACACAGAATATTATGAGAGGCGTGAGAGCTCGTCGAAAGCAGTGCGTCGCTTTATGATTACCAGCTTCTCTGTAATAATAAAACATCGACAAGCCGCCTTTATCGGCTGCCTCCTCGATAAGCATCCGTGACGAATTCACACCACTCGTACTATAACTTCAATATATTAACGGCATCCTGAGTAACGGCTGATGCACACACAGTAACAAATAAAAATGTACCCTATCCCCTATCTTCATAGTTTATTTTACAATGCTAGAATTTAGATCATAAGCTGTTTACTTTCTTTAAAAGGGAAAATGGTTGAGATATACGTTTCGATATAAATTCATTTTCATGCACTTCGTTTCTCAATTTATTTCAAAATTTCTGTGTTTTATATTCAGGCTTCGTGTATATTGTAAGTTATGTTGATACACGACTTTGAGACTGGCAATTCTTAAAGTATAAAATTTATAATAATAATTAATATAGAAGTGTCATTCGTTGAAAATGTGCTAAATATAGTAAAAATAACCTTTCTCCAATAATAAATTTAATGACTGTTTTGTAGAAACATTTTTGGGACTATTAAACATGTTCTATACCTATGTTTTGGGTAGGTATAGAATATGTTATTATCTATTATTTGAATGTGAATCCCAGTGCTATATACAAAATCCTTTTATACCTAATATACTAACTGAAATGTAACCTATATGTAGGTAGCTAGGTATTATTCAGAGTTTATGTACCTATCTAACAATCTATAGGTAGGTGACGTATTTAAAACTTTATTAATTACAAGCACACAAAAAATCAAATCTATCAATCGTATCTATACATAATATTAGTATGAATATACAGATATATTAATAACATCATTATATTATATATATATATATATATATATATATATATATATATATATATATATATATATATATATATATATATTAATATAGTGCACATTACACAATCATCTTGCTTGTACAAAATTGTCAATAGAGCATTTATTGAATACAACTAAAGTTTTTTTATTGACACATCCGCGTGATGGCATACGACAGTTAGGAACCTATACCTACAGCCTATTCAGACGCGGCTACTTTTTGGTTTCAGTTCATCTACCTTTCTGCCATTCACGGATTCGAGAAACGGTATTGTAGTAAAAAACACTTCGTGACTGATGTGCCGGTCTGTTTCTTTGCTTGTTCGTTTCGAAATTCAAACCAATACTTTGGTTGTTCACATTCAGAAGAGGTAGGAAACCACCAGTGGCGTTTCTGCTACCTACTTTCTAAATTAAAAAAAATACCTTTTATAAGCTCTGCTTATCTGGTTATTTAGCTTGTAGAAGACGTTGCAGTTTTTATAAAAGCGAAGGTGTGTTTGTATTGTCTGTCACCATTTTACGACTAAACTATCGGATCATAATAAAATTTGAGTTTGAATATCTACCTATTATAGTATCGGTTGAAAAAGTGAGTATGAAGAATACTCACTTTTTCAACCGATAATAGGTAAACTATTTTTCAAATACCTAAGCGTAACTAGTTTAGCATCTACTATAGTCATTAAAATTTAAAAAATATAAGATGGCAACTATATAGAATTATATACTAATTCTAAGCAGACGAAGTCATTGGCATCAGCTAGTAGGTAGATATAGGTACCTACTATTTTCTTTGTAACATTTACAAAAAATATTGATAAATTGGCATTAGATATGTAGTTACTTAAATGTCAGATATTATGCCGTCTAGTATTCACTTACGGCACAACTTAAGTATCATATCAATTCCACGTAACTGTTTCATCTCGCCGATCAAAACACAAAGCTGAGAATTTTAATAATACTCATTCATCGTCGAATTGGTGTATAATTCAAATCTCTTTTTCAGTATCATCGTAATTTACATACGCTAAATAAAAAGCGGTGTCATCACAAAAGATATTTGGAGGCAATATAAACATAATATCAATTTAAATTCCTTGTTAGTGGAGCGAAAGCCGACATCATACCTGAAACCAGAGACTCGTGATTGGTGGAAGGTTGCACCAATAGTAAGAGCGGGCCCCGACACGGCCGGGGGTGCCACAACGTGTCCGCGCCGAGCAGGCGGATCCACATTATGACCCTCCGCGCCTCAGTTATACTCCACACCTTGCGTCGAAGTGACGTGATCACTTATACGTGTTGTTGTTATTCATTGACTTCTAACTTATAATATTTTAACGACCGTGCAAGTGAAAATGCCGCGACCTTCGCGCGAATCATACGGTGACCAAAAACCACCATACTCGTATATTTCACTAACCGCTATGGCGATCTGGAGTTCTCCCGAACGCATGCTGCCGCTGTCGGAGATCTACCGGTTCATCACGGACAGGTTCCCGTACTACCGGCGCAACACGCAGCGCTGGCAGAACTCGCTGCGGCACAATCTGTCTTTCAACGACTGCTTCGTGAAGGTACCCCGCCGCCCAGATCGGCCCGGGAAAGGAGCCTACTGGACACTGCATCCACAAGCCTTTGACATGTTCGAGAATGGATCATTACTCAGGAGACGTAAGCGATTCAAGTTGCAAAAGGGAGAGAAGGACAATCTAAATGCAGAATTAGCAGCTCTCGCAAGTTTCAATAGAGCATTTTTGGCTAGACAAGCAAGCGCTCCTCCTCCACCGACAGTTCTACCCAGTGCTAGTTTATACACTCCATCGATGTGTCCCCAATTAAGTCCTGAGCCAGCGGAATTGCCAGAAGTAACGACGATGACAATGTTACCACGCGAGAGACCCCGACGGGCGTTTACAATCGATGCGTTATTGGAACCGGAGCCACCGAGGTTGTCGCCGTCGCCGCCTCAGCCGGTGTTGACGATACAACCCATGCCGAGGCTGGACCTGTCGATGCAGTCTCATTACATGGTGGCTGCGCAGCGATACCACGCAGAGCTGCTGCAAGCGGCGGCGCACGCGCTGCGCCCCTGCTATCTGCCGCCGCCGCCTCTACCTGTCGCGTGACATCACCGCTCTTTCAGCAGCTGCTCCAATATTTCGTGCAATGCTAGATTGTAAGTACATTTAATTCCATAAAGGACATCCTACTTTTGTAAAGTGATACGAAAATAATTTAGGTAGGTATAAACATTTATAAGAATGTTATGTTGTTGAAAATTCTGTTTTACAAAAGAACCTAATTAGAAAACTAAATTACTATATAGGTTCCGCGATGATTATAGGAATTTTAATGCTAACAAAGTCTATACGTTTGTGTATTACGTAGATGCAACGAAGTTCATTTTCATATGAGAGGACGCAGTAATTTATGTGGAGGCCATAACAAATCGGCCTAGCATTTAATCCGCAATGATTAATTCTTCGTAGAAAGTACGGTTAAGCGATCTCATATTTAGATTATTGTAGGCAATTATCAAATTACTCGTAATGTATAATGTGTATTTATTGAATCAATAGGTTATGTAACGATAACTTGTTGTGTAAGTAGTTAAACACATTTAATATAACGAATAAACAGTCACTTTTAGAACAGTGATTACCTACTTATGCTCTAAGTTTTACAGATATTTGTATCTGAAAGAACACAGATTTAGAATTATTCTTAAAGAAAGAAACCGTTTTGTTTTGTAAATAGGTGTTCTGAATTATAACATTTTACTATTATTATAGGTTAATATATAGGGAATGTTGTTGTAAGTACAGATTGTTATTTATTTTAGCTAAGATTTTAATTTTATTATTTTTATAGATATAACTACTATTATCTCTGTAAATATTGTTCTACTTGTTGTATCTATTAAATAGGAATATTAAACCGAATCATTCTTACAGATTCTTTTTGTTTTATTTGAGATTATTAAACAACCAGTGTAGTAGTGAGAAAAATTTTAAAACAATCAATATACTGTTTTTCTTTTATAATATTACATTGACAAAAAGACTTAGTCTAATCCTCTTTTTTAAAGATTTCAAAGAAGTATTAGAGGCACTTTTGATTGCAAAAAATATCCCTATGGCAACAAATTTAGAAATTATTTCTTCATATTGTAAAGAGACGAGGAAAATATGTCACTAAATATAATTAACTTAACTTACTAATTTTCTATACAAATGAACATTGAACGGCATTTTATAAATCCTGGTGTTCGACTTGGGAGGCCATCACTCTGCTCCGATAAAAGGTGATGTTGGTATGGCAGTAAGTGGTAAAAAATGGTCGCCTGATGGTGGTCTGTTTCACGGTATAATACGGCGAATCGACCGCGTTTGTCCACTAATAGATCGTGATATTGGATTGAGCGCGCATGCTGACTCATCAACATCCTTGTTAAGTTCGGACTGTTGCGGACGGTCCAAGTATTTTAAGATATTTCAGGTAATTGGTACCGTTTACTTTTACCTATATAAGCTTTTACTTTTTTAATTAGGTATGTAGGCATGTATCTAGAAATAATAGAGGTAGGTCTAGGTATGTGACTATATTAATAAAAATTGCGTTTTTGATTTGAAATAATTTATCAAATACATAGCGGTACCCGCGGTTTCATTTCCATGAAGTTTGTAGCCTATGTGTTATTCTGATGTATAAGATATATTAGTAGTTTAAATAAAATCCATTAAGTAGTTTTTGCGTGAAAGAAACATTGGCTGTATATTAGTCAATATATACATAACTCACTAAAATATGTGTACCCAGGCGATGTCGCGAAGGGTCACTAGTCTTATTAATGTTACGCAAAAATTACTTAACGGATTTTGATGAAACTTTACAGTAATATGTTTTATACATCATAATAACACATAGCCTATAAATTTCATGCGGGTGAAACCACGGGCATAGCTAGTTCAATATAAACTTCAACACTAAAACCTGTCGCAAAATATCAAATAGCAATGACATATATTCATCAACCATCTCTATTTAATCAGTTGCGGTGACATCGCGTCAATTCAGACGTTAATTTTAAAATATTTTTATACGTGACTCAAAATAAATAAATGCTTTGTAAATATAATGACACAGTTACAAAGGAAACTCGCTACAACGGTAGTAAATTGAATATAAATTATAAAGTGTCAAGTGGACGTCAATTGATTGACAGCACATCCATGTGGTAAGCTGTGGGAATATTACATTACCAGTATATTAGTGCAAAGTATTTAAAGAACATAATTAGACAGTACTGCATACCTGCCGGGTCCTTATTTCCCTGCAATGTATTATTTAATCGTTTTTGTTTTGTAATTATAAGTTACTCGTATTATATCATTGTCGGATTGCGAGATTGAGATGAATATTGTTACATATAGTAACAATATTGTCTGCATTGTGTAGTAATTACTAGTTGCAACCGCGACTTTGCCTATACAAACTTGCATCCGTTAATTCACCTCTTCCATATTATTAAAAAAATGAAGTAGGTATTTAATATGAATAAAACCGATACAACACCTATATGATAAATGTATAAAAATATATTTATACTTATAGATGTATAATTACCTACCAATGTTACCGATTCTTTTAAAGAGAAAGGAAATAAGCCTATCATACTTAAGTAATAGAAGGACCTAGTTTAAAAACATAAGTAACATCTAATAGAAAAATCTCCTCTGATGGCAAAAGACCTGCAGTAGATTGGGAATTAGTGGTAGTTGTGATAGTAAAGTATGAAAAATAGATCCATTTATTACTTTTGCACTTAAAATATACTTGACGAATTTGTAAGAAATGTGGTATACAAATAGTTTGTATAGATACTATGCAAACACATAGAGTACTTTTTACCGCAATTATAAGTGATAATGATATGATGATATGACGCAATGATAATTTATGAGATTATAATATCATTTTAGGCCTAATTTAAATAATGCACCTAGATGTTTGATAATATAACAAGGAGCTTTTTTACAACTCAAGTATTATATGAATATTTATATTATTATGAACTAATGTAAATACCAGGGGATTGATCGTTTAAGTGTTAGCATTAATGAGTGTATCAATTTATGTTCATCATTTCATAAAAAATGCTCTAAACAAATTTCTACCAATTTAAAGTAAACAGATAAGTGGTGTGTGCTTTAAGGCATCCAACAACAATACCTACTTGTGTATCAATCCTTCCAGTATACGCTCGGCAAACACTCAATACTTATACAAATAATAAATATTTGTAAAGGCAGATGTTTGAAGAGGATTATTACGTGCCCCAAAAATAATAATCGGCGTCTCTTAGCACTCCCGTTGACGTTTTTGCTGCGAACACCTTTGCACGAAACTGTAGCCTATAATTTCGAAATTAATATCTAACACATTGTGCCTATCCTATCGTCCCTCGATTTGCTGTTTTTATAGCTTTTCCGACACCGTAACTGCTAATTATTTCTATCATGATATATCCTTAGGGGTCTTTAAATATAATTGATAAACAAATTTCAACCGTCTTGTAATTATAATAAGATTTAAAAATATTTATGTTTTATAGTTGATCAGAAATCTGTATTAAATATAGGCCGTGAGGGAAGTTCATCGTTTTGTTCAGTCGAAGCTGTCAAGAATTATGTTTGGGCCCCTTGCGCCCGGTTCTTGTGCCAGCTGGGTTTAAAAATGACAGATTGTACAAGTCATTAAAATGTTTTTATTATTTTCACTCTTGATTATAAGATTAAGTGACATTTAATAGCGAGTTTAACTTCTTTATTATATTATGTAATCAAATTAATGTTTATAAATGTATGTTTCTTTTATTTATTGCTACAAATAGGTAGTTAAGTCTACTATTGTTATAAGAAGTTTCTGGGTAAGTTTTTTTTAAATCTCTGTATGTATAAACTTGAAATATTAGACAGAGTGCTAATATTTCAAGTTTATACATACATGATGTGCTGAAATGCGGTTAAATTCCCACTGGGTTTTTATTATTTTACTGCGATCATAATATATTGCTTTTGTTTTATATACACTATGTTTTATGCTTATTTAACTTAAATTGTCTCAATATATTTAGCGAAAAATATTTTAATTATACTCTTAAGTTACCATCTAAAAAAAATCTTTCATTTTAATAATTTTATGAATTGCTATAGAAATACGTACAACCTTATCATAAAGCCCTATTTTTTAATAGCGATATTTATGTATGATTCTACATATCAAAACAATATTTATTGAGGTCAGCTATCAATACCTATATGAATCTACAGTAGGTACCTAAGTATCTATTAATATAATAAAATTTAAATAGACAATAACGATTCTATCGTGATTCGTGAATCAATTGTCCCACCTCCGTGTGGGACAGAGACAATGTCGTCACGGCGATCAAGTGTCGGCTCATTGTCCCGCCGCGCGTCACGTCGGGGCGGCAAAAAGCCAGCCGCGGCGTCCCGCTGTGTTGTTCCGGCGATTGTGAACGGGACCGCCCATCGCTCACTCTTAAATGAAACCTGATTTGTACAATATAGTACAAGTATACACTGTACAGTCAAATATATCTTAAATTATCCAAGACCTAGAGGGTCCATGGTATGTGTTAGTACAAAGTCAACTGCGTGGGCATCTCTATCTAAATTATTTCAGCCGCCAAGTAGCTTTTTCGTAAGACGTGATTCAATTGAAGAAAGATAACTGTGTGAACAGAATCCATATACTGTTCACACAGCGTTGCCATTCTGGAACTCTAACATACCTCCATAGGTATGTTAGAGTTCCAGAATGGCAACGCATGAATGGTGCTATTAAGGTAATGTGTACGTAACATGACATATATATATATATATATACCTATACTATATTATACTGTTTTGGGAGTTATTATAAAAAAAATTGCAGTGATTTTATATATAGCAATTTTAGTTAGTGTTTAGTTATTTTCAAAACCAAATCATTCTTCTCAATAAGCTTAACTAGTGAGTAACCCATGGTGTTTCTATAAGCAACAGTTGATCAAACTAATGATAAATTTGTACACAATAGCTTATTGACATGCTCAATAGAGCGCTGTTCCTCCTCTAACACTTCCGTCAACACACAATTTTCAATGAATGAGCCTTATCAATTTACAATTTTATGGTAATATTTCCATTTAGTGTATAACCGTCTATGTGGTTGTTCTTGAGCTCTGTCAAAATTCTTATTTTTTTAATGTGAAAACGTTTCGTTTTTAACGTTAACAGCCTGTTTTGTAAGATATTTTTTGGTTTGAGATATGGCAATGAAATTACATGCTAAGAATACCTGACTTGAGGATACAAATATAATAATTATCTATCTAATCCTCTGGAAAGGCTACGTATGAAGGGTGTAACAACACAGGTAACATGACTACGTGATGTCCGTAGTGCTGTTCATAGTAGATATATTGGTTACTATTGTCAATTTAATCAAGTGGTTTATCTGTTTTCAATTCAGTACCTAGATAACTATTTCAGTTCTAAAAAAGCCTAATTTTTAATTCAGTTTAATT